ACTTAGCCAAGTTAAGAGTTATTTTAGCCACAAACTCAGCCTCAGCTTCTCGGCCTCTCGGCTCCAGATATCGATAAATATGTGTATATATATTGTGTCTGGGGTTATTAATGTTTCTGCACACGAAAATTATATGCCCTGCGGGCGGAGCAGCAAGAGCATGAATTTGTACATTTTCATACGAAATTTTGCTCAAACTTGGGCTTAATTAACAATGCCAGATATACATATAGATGTATGTACTTTAATTTCAGTCTAGCTGTGCGCATAATTCTTAAATGATGTTGGTTTTTTCTGTATACCCTGCAATTATGAAACGACCATGAAATGGGCATAACTAGCTTCCACAGAGGCAACAACTAAGCCCATCGGGTCAAGTTTATTTATATTTACATTTATTTTAGTTATTTTAATATATGTCTCTATTCTATATGGGTATATTTGAAATATGCGATAGCTAGGCACATCAAATATGCCTCAAGTATGTTTTTGGGCCATAAACTTTTATAATTGATGTTAAGACTTCTCTCTACAGACAGTTTGACACATGATCTGCAACACATCGCAAGCAAAACTTTATTTCTAGGACAACTTAAGCAGTTAGGAACTGCTAACAGGGTATTCACAAGTCGCTCACAACCAGCTCTCATTTGGTTTATTTCCTTTTTATACCCTGAACCCATTAAAAATGGTTATAAGGGTATATTGTATTTGTATGTATGTAAAAGGCAGAAGGAAGCATCTCCGACCCCATAAAGTATATATATTCTTGATCAGCATCAATAGCCGAGTCGATCTAGCCATGTCCGTCTGTCTGTCCGTCTGCCCGTAGGTAGGGATCCCTACCATCAATCAACGTTCACGACATAACTCCGCGAGGAGATATGACGTTCCAAAACGACATAACTCCGCGAGGAGATATGACGTTCGAAAACGACATAACTCCCCGCGGAGATATGTCGTTCCAAAACGACATAACTCCCCGCGAAGATAACTTCGCGCGGAGATATGACGTTCCAAAACGACATAACTCCCCGCGGAGATATGACGTTCCAAAACGACATAACTCCCCGCGGAGATATGTCGTTCCAAAACGACATAACTCCGCGAGGAGATATGACGTTCCAAAACGACATAACTCCCCGCGGAGATATGTCGTTCCAAAACGACATAACTCCAAGCGGAGATATGTCGTTCCAAAACGACATAACTCCCCGCGGAGATATGTCGTTCCAAAACGACATAACTCCAAGCGGAGATATGAAGTTCCAAAACGACATAGCTCCACGCGAGATATGAGATAAGCTCTTCCAAATCATCAGTTTTTTTTCAAAATCGAGGTTCCAAATCATAATATCGGGTAAATAATGTCTGATTTTAAAATGTTTTACCTTTTTGAATACGTAGGGATCCCTATCATCAATGTCCGTCTGTCTGTCTGTCCGTCTGTTCGTATGTATGAACTCAACGATCTCAGAACCTATAAGAGCTAGAGAAATTTTAGATATAGGTGCTCCTAATGCCTGCGCAGATCGAGTTTGTTTCGATAAAAATCGATATCGATATTCTGTTTTTTTTAGAGTTTGGAGTCACCAAACTGGACATATAGCTTCTAATATGCATTTGATGTTGGAAGAAGAGAGTTCAGGGTATCCCCTAGTCGGGAGCTCTCGACTAGAACCTCTTACTTGTTTATATAGTTAATGATTACAGTTTAGTTGATTGTTTTGTTTTTTTTTTTAATGTATTTAGTTGCTGTTGACTTACCCAACAGAAATTGTTCAATTTCGGCGCGTTTCGAGGCTTTTAAGTCCATATCCATGATACAAAGCGTTAATTCGAAGCGTTCAGTGTTAATGTTTGTTGATATTATGGCGTTTTTGTAGATCGTTTGATTTATGTGCTGTTGTTGTTTTTGCTGTCACTGGCAATATTTTTGTTAACAATTAACAATTGAGTGTGAAAATAAAATAGCACATTCTATTAAATCACATGCACTCGTAGCACTCTATAAGTAAATGCAGCAGTTAAGTAAATATTATTTATGAAATTCTCGAGCATTTACAACGCTCACTATTATCTCGAAAACTCTGCTCAGCACTTGCACGAAACTGAACGAAATAAATAGAAAACGATATGCAACACACATGAAAATATATGTACATATATAGTTGTCCTGGTCGAATAACTCTCCCGCAGCGCAGCCAAAATGAAACCAGACCGAAATCAATCCGCGCCAGGGTCTGTTTAAACTGGCAATACGATGTTGGATTATTAATAGATGGAATATTCGTTTATTCCAAGAGCTGCCTCGAAATACAATACACAAAACGTATTGTGCTCGATTCTGGCTTCAAATAATACCCCGCACAGCAGCCAATGGGTTCGTCTCACACTCTGCACATGTATGTAATTCATTTGCCAGACAGCAAGGCAAGCTGTACGCTATATTTGGTGTCTGCTGTACTTATGCCAATTGATGCTGATTGGAAATTCATTGGGTTCAATGACTGAACCTAAGCTGAGCTGAGTTGCTTCGCTTTAAAGTATACCCTATAATTGTCGTATCGAATAATCAAAACTTTAATCAAGATTTTGAAAGATTTGTCATTTCTGGCCATTTTTAAGGGATATCTGATGGATTTATATGCCCGTTTTGTCGTATTTTATTGTCTGATTTTTGTTTTTGTTGTTGTTTTTTATTTGGTTGCACGCTTCGTTTGGCGCTTGTGGAAAATCAACGCAGCCGGCGGCGCTGATGACGTTATGTTTTCATCTTTTTTGTTTTTGTTCATCACACACACACACACACACACACACACACACACACACACACACAAGTATTTGTGTATATGCATGTATGTGTGCATAGGCATATGTGTGTGTCATTAAATGTTATTACGAAATGGCTTTGGGGCCGATTTTCATAATGCGATACTTGCTTTATGCAGCGCCTTTTTGCACTTGCTAGGCGCGACGGGGGCGGAAGGGGTGGTGGTGAAATTTCAGCATGTGTGCGTGTGTGTGTGTGTGTGTGAGCCGCACAGACATTTCTGTCGTTGCGTCTGTTTCGTCTTTATTTTGCGGTTTATTTGTTTGTTTGTGTCGCTTTTGTGGCTAAACTAGGGATGGATTATACACACACACACACACACACACATCCCGCACACACACACACACACACACACAGCTGGAGCTAGTGACTGCTACTACTTAGCAAGCGGCAGCAATGTTTTATGCGCCTGAAGCTGGACCCGAGCTCTTGCCCAGCCTTTTGATACTGACTCATCCAGAAAGGCGACGCGTGTCGTTGGCCATAAAAGAAAGAAATTTATATTCATATACATACATATATGTATGCATGTATGTGTGCATGTATGTATGTATAAAGTGCCATACATGCAAGCGAAAATAAAAAGCTAAACATTTCTCGGCGGGCGCGTTCTTTTTAGAACTTTTACTTTTTTATGGCACGTGAAAGGTGCAAAATGGTAATTTGCAATGCTGCAGCCGTAAACGGTTTTTATTTCCATCAAAGAGTCTATTAAAATAAAACAAAAAAAAAAAAAAAATGGCAGCAATAAACAATAGTTTCTATTGATAATTAACACTTGTTGTTCGATATATTGAATTTCTGTTTATCGCACTTTGATCAGCTCTGCCGCAGGTATTTTCAATCTAAATATTTGATTAAAGTTTTTTTTTGCTAGCGTTCGTTACAAACGGCATTTCAAATTGTTTATGGCCAAAGCGCAGGCGTGTCTGCTGTTGGGGCTTTCAGTGCATTTCCGGTCATTTTGAAATGCCAGCAGCATTTCCTGCGCCGCCGAGCCCAGAGCCGAGAGTCTTGTAGCTTTCGCATTCGAATTGGTTCTTTTTTATTTCTTTGATTTCTTTGATTTATGCTTTTAATTTTGCATCCGGTTTTTCACTTTATTCTTTGTCACTGCGCCTTTGTTTTTACCCATACACTTTGCGCTCGCTGTTTGCGTTAACGTCGACGTCGACGTTGACACCTTTTCTGCTTAAGCTCGCCAACAGCTTTTCTGTAACAGCGCTCTCCGTAGAACCAATGCAAACGCAGACGCAGTCGCACTCGCTTTTCATTGCGAATACGTTGTGTGCGAGAGGGAGTGAGAGATAGCTTGAGAGCTTTGCGCGCCGTATACGATTTGAAGCGCGTCTTTGTGTGCGCGGCCGTGAATCACACGAACGCAACTGACTGACAGCGGCGCAACCAGAGACTAGAACGGCCGCTGTCTGTTGGCTTCCTCATGTTCGTGGGGGAGCCGAAGCCGCAAACGCATGCACGAAGCCAAACAGGCACACACGAAGTTCATGTGGCCTGCGCTCTTGTTGTTGTTGTTGCACACTTTCTTTGCAGAACGCAAAGTTTTTATGCTCTTTACCCGTTTAAACTAAGTAAAAGAGTCTGTAATGAGGCTGTAGCAGACAGCAGACGGCCTGTTTAACCCTATTAATTATACATATATATATATGTATATGCTTCTGCTCAGCATTTACAGCCCAATTGCAAGTCGTATAAGAGCGAGAAATTTCATATGTTACACAAATGTTAAACGTTGTATATTTTTCGCCATCCGCAGTACAGGGTATCTCGCGGTAGGGTAGCAACAAAGTCTGTCTGTTGCATAAACTGCTGAAAATGTGAATTTAAATGCACGTTTTTTTCTATACAATTTGGGCAACGTTGCCGTCTTCACCAATTTTGGCAAAATAATAAAAAAACAGGCTCGCCAACCCGAAAGATACCAAAACACAAAAACCAGAAAACTTCTAATGTGCGCAGTCAGCAAGAAAGTGGCTGCCAAAAGGTGGCAGATGTTGCTGCTGCTGGAGCAAGTTAGAAATCGGAGCCTTGTTTAAAAAGCCAATCTCAGGATGTGCGTGCGTGTTTGTTCTGTCTTTTTGGCGGCAGATAAGCACACAAAACAACACACAGCTACAGATACAGCTTGAGATACAAATACATAGCCAGATGAAGTTGCGACAGTCTGTTGCCTTTTAGGGAATGGCCTGAAGGACGTGCTGCAGAGGCAACAACTCAATTTTAATTAAATATTGCACTCTGCTTGATATAAATTAAGAATTCTGCCGGAACCTGGATAACCTTGGTATCTTGGGCGTGTGGGGAGCCGGCCAGTGCGTGACTATGTCTGTGCGTGCACTGGGCTCAAAAAGCAGGGCCAACAACAGGTTCCCAGCTTGCGTTTATCGGGCCAACAGACAAGTCTCTGATTTCCCGGCAACAGCAGCAGCAGCAGCAGGTTGCAACAATCAATGCTGCTGATTCATGCCACAATGGCTGCTCTTATTTAAACGTATTTTGCTAACGCTTAATTATGCGCCATAATACAGGTCTTTTCATTCAAACAGAACAACAATTTGCTTTGGTTTTGTGCGAACTTTTACTTGAGCAGCGCTTGCAGGCGATTCTGTTGCGTTTTATTGGCGTTTTGCGACGCGTGCGTTTTTAACTGCGCTGCCAGCTGCAGCAGCGCGTTTTGCTTTTGTGTCTTCGATTGCATTTTTTGCGGTTTGCTGGCGGCGGGCGTTGGCGCTGCTTTCGATTTCTTCTTCTGTTTGTTGCTTTGCCCCATCGTCGTTGTTGTTGTCGCTGTTGTTGTTGCTGCGGCTTTTTTTGCTGCCGTTGTTGTTTCGGGCGCTTTCGGCGCTTTTTGTTTTTGTTGGACTTGGGCTGTTAGCATTGGTATCTTCAGCCCAGCACTGACGTCTTTATTTGTGCGCTTCTTTTTTCGCTTGCCCGTTGCGGGCGCTGCAGCTGTTATTGTTGTTGTTGCTGCTGCTGTTGCCATTGTTTCCACTTGTTCGGATTTAGCTCGTTTCTTGGGCTTTTCCAGCGGCAGCATGGTTTTGTGCCCGCAAAACCCGCAGTGCACAGCCTGCAAAACGAATTGTTGTTTCAAAAAAAATCAAAGAAGTGACATAAGTTGAGAACAAAGGATTTGCAGCCACTTACCACATGGCTGGCCATGCGCTTCTTCAGCCAATTGGCGCGCTTTCTGGCCCCGGTGCTCAGCATGCCCCGCTGCTGTTTGGCCTTGACCGCGTCCAGCTGGGCGATCTGCCTACGCCGTTTGGCATTGTCCAGCAAACGCTGCGGCCGCAAGTGCAGTTCATAGTTGCCGTCGCACCATTGATTGCCGCAACGGGCGCACATGCGAGCCGGGCCCACGCTGTCCTCGGGCAGTTGGACATTATGCCGGGCCAGCTTGCGGCTGATATTGCTGTTCAAAATGAGCAACACCAGATAATTAAGGTAATAGTTGTTTTGAAAGGCGTTGCTGGACTTACATGTAGTATGATTTGAGCAGGCGCTCGGCGTGTGTATCTGTGCTTAACTCCTTGGCGCAGTTCCACAGCAGGTTAACTCTGTTTTGTTCTTCCATTTCTGGAAATAAATTTAGCTATTTTGTGGCTAAAACAGGCAGCACTGACAGCAACTCACGTTGCACGGCACACATTAAGCACACATGAATCGCAGGCAATTCACAGCGAACTTGTATGTATTATACATTTCTATAGCTACCTGTATATGTTTATTTATCTAATTGTTATTGACTGTTCATTTAAACAGTTTTTTATTTAACTGCCCGAAGTTTGTCGCGTTTGTTTTGGTGCTGCCACTATGGTGTTGCCACATGACAATATCGAACCCATTTGCCGCTCAATTAATATTCAGTTATCGATAGCTGCTAAAAATGTTATGTTAGGATTCTGTTAAGTGTTAACAATTACTGTAATCAATAGGCAGCTGTTAAATTCGAAATTATAGCTCATTCTGTTATTTTCTAGCAAATACTATACTTGCTGGTACATACTCGCATGATATTTAACTAAATTAAGTAAATATAGTTATTGCGTCAATAAGTGCTGCTGTAAATAAGAAAACAGCAAAATGTTAAAATGCAGAATGTTAAATTAACAGAAGCCATAACAGACGCAGATCGATAGCTGCTGTCGTTCGGCGCTATGGCAACTCTAACGATAACACGGGCATACCGACGCTTGCGCATTTAAAATTTCAACGTCGCGAACGAGCGAAAAAAGAAGCGTCGCGCACAATTTCGAATGACGTGCATCCATGAAAAGATACTAAATAATCGTTTTAAAAGTGTATTCGACTAAATAGCAGGCAGCTAAAATACAAATAAAACACAAGTGCAAGTGAAACTGAATAAATTAAACATAAGTGCGCGCGCAATTTGCATTTTCACAAGCATTTGCATCAACAACAACAATGGATCCCTTCACTCAGGTACAAAGCGTAACAAAGCAAACAATGAAAATCATTGTCTAACTGCATTTGATATGCAATCTGTATATAATATAATTTGCAGCGCATGCTCGAAAAGGCCGAACAGCGCAGTCGCGCACTCGGCATAACAAATGCCAGCAAATTTCCACTGGCGGAATGCACTCTAACAACGGAAACGGAGGCGTCGGCGGTCAGCAAAGCGACGCCAGCTGCGTCCGCGACAGCCTCAGCGTCAACCGGCAGCAGCGGCGGCGGTAATGCCGGCAAAGTTGTTATCTTGGAGAAGGCAACGCTGGCGGCATCGCCCACAAAGCCGCTGCGCCACTATGCGGCGGTAAACAAGGAGAACATGGAAATGGGCATCGAGATAAACATAACCACCGCCCAGCCAATTGGGGTAAGTTTTAAACGCATTTGCCTTTCGCTTTGTTCGGTGGTGTTTTTCGGTTGTTGTCTGTTGCCTTTGTCTCTGCATTTGCTACATCTGTGTGCGTGCGTGTGTTTGTGTGTGTGTGTGTGTTTTGCATTTTTCGCGCGCTGTCGCCACGTTTAGGTACAAGTTGAGATACAGGAGCAGGATATGACGAGCAGCGACGAGGACGAGGAGCAGCGAGCTGCTCTAATCTCGAATTCTGGAGATGGTGCCGCTGCTGCGGAGGCGCCTGTCAATCAGCCTCTGGCCCGACTGCGTGACACGTCGCGCAGCCGTCTGCAGCGCATGGGCGCACTGTACTCCAATACGGATGATCTGTCCTCGCCCATACATCGCACCGAGGCGCAGTTTCATGCCGGCGACGATGATGACCGACCGCTGTCGGCGCGTAGTCCACGCAGGGGCAAACAACGCTTTGGCAAGCTAGCGGCGTTGGCGGACACAATTAACCAATGGGAAGACGATACGGCACATCATGAAGTGCATCGACCGCTGCTGGAAGCCGTGCCGCCGCCCAAGCCAGACTTGCCCAGTCGCCCAGTGCCGGAGCCGAGAGCCAAAGCGGATGTTGTGGATGCGAGCAACAAAACCAAACAACTCAAATGGGATCCCAAGGTATTGAGCTCATTGGAGGCGCAGGGCTTTCAGCGACGCGATTCGTCCACGATTAAACATACCTATGATTACGCCAAGCAGGAAGAAGCGTCAAGTACAACAACCGCAGCTGCCACAGCCAAGCCGCCGGTGCCGGAGAAATCAACGACGGTCAGTAAAGTGGCCAAGACCTTTGGCGCCGTGGCGCCTGCACCCGCACACTCCAAGCCTGCAGCAGTGGCCGCCACCAGTGTTAAATCCGGCTTGGTCTCTGGTCGCGCCGCCATTTTCGAGAATAAGGCCAACGGCGGCGGCTCTCAGTCCCAGGCAGCACAGCGCAACCAAAAAGATCCCTGCGAGCTGTCGCTGAAGGAGCGCATGAAACTTTTTGAGACCGGCAATTCAAAGGCCATGCTGCCCAAGGCGCCCATAGGCACAGCGCCTAGCATCAGCCAGATTAGGGCAGACGAGCCCAAGGGTAAGGCTTTTGCTGCAGCGCTTGCCACAACAGCCAGAACTAATTTTCTGCCCTTACAGCTCACAGTGCGCCAGTGCATCCGATTACAGCAGGCGCTCAGAGCGCCGTCAAGCCGCAGCCCAAGCCCGAGAGTAAGCTGCGCGACAAAGTGGCCGCCTTGGTGGCCTCTGCCCAAAGCAGCGCTGAGAATCGCATTAAGGACATTGATCGACAGCGCCAGGAGGACATGCAAATCATAGCCAATCGGTTTAACAAGCAAAAGGACCTCCTTACGCCGCAGACAACGACTGCAACAGCACAGCCAGCGCCTGTGCCGGCGCCACCCGTGGCTAGCAAAGTGGTGCGCCCAATGCCGCCGCCACCACCGCCGCCCATGGCAAATGCTAGCAGCAAGCGGCGCTCACGTAAGTAGCTGCCACAATCAATGGAATTGCCAATTCCAACTTTTTGTATTTACAGCTGGCGATGTCATTGACGAAGAGTCGAAGCGCGCACGCACATCGCACGCGGATCGCCTGTATCCCGCTCTGTCCGATCTTGACTCCAGCGGCGACAACTGCTGCGCCTCGGCTACCGCCTCGCTTAACGATGACACCGAGGAGGAGCTAGAAAGGTGCGCTGACAAATGCTATTCTTGCCTGCTCTTTCTGCTCTGCATTGAGTAGATCCCTCCACCCGCTAGAGACTGACTTTAGACCTTAGACGCATAGCTTTAAAACTAGACAAGGCCAATAAATGTGTGAATAGCTGCTTAAATCTAATTTCTTTTAATTTGTAGTTGCATGGATGAGTCCTTGGAGGAGGAGGAGGATCAGTCGCAGACTGAGGACAGCAGCGCGGGCATGTGCAACGGCAGTCTGGGCCGCGAGATATTGCACACGGTGCAACGCAACGAGGCCGAGCTGCAACAGCAGCAACAACAACAACAACAACTGGGAAAAAAGGTGAGTTGCAGGTAACAAAATCTATGCACAGCGGGTGATTAAAATGTGTAATGTTTCACAGGTACGCTATGCCGAGCAGGATCATTATTACAGTCATGACGGTGATAGCTCTATGAATTCCTCACAAATCTCTGCGGGCATTGATGATTATTTGGACGAGGCACTGGTGGGTGACTATGGCAGCACACAGGAGGATGACAGCGAGGACGAGCACAATGCCAGTCACCTATCGCTGGGCGTGAGTACTGCGTGCCCCGAAAAACTATTGAAACTATTTACTGAATAACTTGTACTTCCACAGAGCAAAGGCACCACCGCCTCCAATAGTTTCTCATTTCGCAAAACGCCGGCTGCTGGCGCCGCCGGCTCTACTGCCTGTCAGACCATACAGGAGCAGCACGAGGCGATGGATGTGCAAACGCCGCTGATGAATGGCGCACAACCCGTCAAGTCCGAGCTGAGCGTTAATCAGGACAACGATAACTTGGTCACGCTGGTGCACACCGTTAGCTTCTATCGTCGCCAGCAAAGTGCCAGTGTAAGCCTTAAATGAGAAGCGGCGCAGCATAAATCTTAATATTAATTCTTGTATTTAATAGAATTCTAATTCGACGCCCGTGCGCAAAATATATCGCGAGCAGCAGGTCATGCGTTCGGCGCTCACCGGCGATTGCCATGCCAAGCACAAGCTGGAGTATGATTCACCACAGCATGGCGAGACGTCTGCCGCGACTGCTACCAGCAACGATGACTGCAGCGAGGATGACGAAGAGCAGCACACTGCACGCGAATTGAACGAGTCAGCACAAGCCCAGGACAAGATCAAGAAATTGCTCAGTGAGGTTTGCAAGCAGCAGCAGGTAATAGGCCAGGCCAGCCAGGCGCTTAATCTGTGCGCTGCCACCGTGGAGTTTTCCGGTTCCACTGAATCCGTTGAGGGCGAACGCTATTTACTGCTAGCAAGTAGGTGGCATTTGACATATCAATTATTTTACTATCTATTTTATTAAATATTTAATCGTGCAGCTCATCGTCGTCAGGCCTGCTTGGATGAGGTGCAGCGGCTGCGCGTGGAGAACAGCGTGCGTCCCGTGGGCGCACCCAAGGAGAAGGGCTTGCTGACCGTCAAGGACATTACCATACCGCTGAGACAGGAGTACGTGCGCAAAATGGCAACGGGCAACATAAATGGCCATCATTTGGTCTGCCTGCTCAAGTACAATGAGCACGTGCTGGCCACCAAGACGGTGCCCACTATGCCTGGCTTGCTCTCTGTCAAATTTCCCGATGTGCTGCAGCTTAACAATGTCTATGCAGATTTTCGGGTAAGCTTAGCTTGGGCGAGTCTCATTTGGCTGCGGTGTTAAATATCCTAACGCATTTGCAGGTTACCCTTGAGATTTATGGCATGCTGGCGCAGCGCGATCAGTTGCCACATGAACTCAAGTATCACATTAATCTGAACAAGAAGGGCGGCATTAAGACGCCCAAAAAGAAGGGCGGTGAAAATCGTTTGGTCATGCCCCCAGTACAGAGTCCAGCCGGGCCGCATGTGGTGCGCACACCGCAGCTGGTGCAATATGGCTTTGCCATCTTCTCGCTGCGTGAGATTCAGCGCACCAGCTGGACGCTGACGCAAGTGCTGGGCGTGAGTCCGCTCGATGGCACCGTTCATATGAAAGTCAATTGCGAGCTGTCTGTGAGCGTGGAGTACAAGGGTTTCCTCACCATGTTCGAGGATATATCCGGTTTTGGTGCCTGGCATCGTCGCTGGTGCTATCTAAATGGCTCCGTGCTCAACTACTGGAAGTATCCGGATGATGAAAAGAAAAAGGCGCCCATGGGCAGCATTGATTTAAATGCGTGCAGCTCACATAAGGTCAGCACAGCGCCGCGTGACATTTGCGCGCGCTTGAACACCATGCTGCTAGAGTGCGAACGTCCGGCCCTGGATACCGATCAGGAGTCGTTGGTTATAGTGCCCAATGGGCGGATGACAACTGTGCGGCATCTGCTGTCCGCTGACACCAAGGAGGAGCGCGAGGAGTGGACCGCCTATCTAAACAAGGCGCTGACCCTGCTGCGCGCCTGGGGCACAACGCATTGATAAACGGACTGGGAGCAGCAGCAGCAGCAGCAGCAACACAGCTGGGGGCGGGGATTTCCTGTACGTTTTTTATGTTTTATGTTTTTAATATTTAGTTGATTTTTATTTTTCTTATATATTTTTTTTTTTTGGCTTCGATTGCGTTGCTAGCTGTTTTCCATTTAAACGATAATCGCGTAAATGTATTTTAAATTCAAGCAAATAATGTATATGTTCATGTTCAGCGTCAAAGTATTGTTGAGATACCCGGTTTAATATATATATTATGTACTAACTTTAAGCGCGTCTCGCAAAAATTATAATGTACAACGAAAAGTTCAAGTGAAAATCGTTTTTGTTTTTGCCCCCCAAAAAAGAATTGTTACCATTTGCTCTATACACGGGTTAAGTTTTATTGAATACTTTTTCCACTATACACATATACATATATATTTATATATATTTTCATTTTGAATGAAATAACTTTTGACTATGTGTGTGTGTGTGTGTGTGAGAGAGAGTGTGTGGATACCGTTAGGCACACCATATGTTCTCTTTGTCTTCAACGCGCAACTTTTTCGCTTTTCTTTGTTTACTGAATTCTGTTCAAATTGTTTTTCTTTAGGTGGTTGTTGTTGTTGTTGTTGTAGGTTGTATATAAGTAGTAACAGCTTTTATGTCAGGTAGTCTCTGGTGTCTGAGAATTGACTCTAGTTCAGTGAGCTACACGATTGGCTATATATGTATATATATATTATAGTATAATACTGGCAATTGGCCATAAAGCTATCTACAAAATTGAATACAATTTGTGTACCGCAGCTTAAAAGTGTGCTAATTTATTTGCATTTACCTGCATTTGATGTTAGTTAATTCAACTATGTCACAACAATGATACGTATTACAAACGTATACATATATATCATATATATGGTGTATATATTTTAGATTTGACTTTCAATTGTAAATACTTCAAAATCAACGTTAAAACATCTCAGATATGATTGCAAGTGTGTGTGTGTGTGTGTGTGTAGGTGTGCATGCATTTGTTAAGGTGTGTTTATATATGTACATAATGTAACAGTTTCTTTGGCTAGTTCTGAAATTCTCTAGAATTATGTACACAGCGGAAATTTGTAGAATTTTGGAGTGGACTTTTCTTTTTTCTTTCGTTTACAATTTCAACAATTTATTTTTGGAACCCTTTTTGAAAAAGGTGTGCACAAAGCGTTCAACTGTTTTCCCCACCCCGTTGCTGACTGATACCCTATCAATTATTATGGGAAGTACAGTCGCACTTCGCTATAACGACTGCTTCTTTAACACACTCCTTTTTTTTTAATCTCTCTCTCTGTATGAAGCTTTCTCACAATCGCACCTTTTACTCTGAAGCTCAGCTAGCCTTTTCCTCAAGGTATATGGCATATGCCAGCTTGGGTTTTAGGCCAAGTTCTTAACCAGATTTCCAACTTGTTTTTTGCCTAGGAGCGTATTCCGACCCGTATCAAAATCTGCACATATATATAATTGTGTTTCCTCTAAAAATGTCGTTTTCTAATTATCAATTTAGGTTAAATTTTGTAAGGCCCAGTTTTGTGTCTAGTTTATTTGCCAGTTCATTATAGGGCCGCATGACTGTATTACGGGTTTGTTGGAATTGTTTGGCATATGCATAATTTCACAGGAGAGACTCATCAAATTGGGCTAGAACTGCGCATGGAACCAGGTTAGATTGCAAAAATAAAGTCGAATACGCACTGAGCTCTTTTTAACATTGGCTATATAAACACATATTGTATATATATATATATATATATGATTGGCTATAATACTGGAGGAGTATGGCATATGCCTGCAATATGGAGCTTAAACAATTTTCAACTACTTTAACGTACATATTTGTAACAAGTGTGTGTTTTACTATATATTTTCGGAATAGGATATAAATATTTCGTCTTGTTGTTGTTGTTGTTGTTGTCGCAAAAGAACAAGGATAAAGCTAAATTTAAGTCGACAAGTCTTTTGCAATTATTCAAATGTACAACTTACTTATGCTAAAAATCTAAAAACAATTTATTTGGCCAATATATAAAATTGAAAAAATAATTGCCTAAGCTAAACGCGTGTGTATATGTATACATATGTGTGTGTGTGTGTGGGTGTGTGTAATTTTTAATAAGAAATCCAACACATGATTCACTTAAAGCTACAACAGAAAACATAAGTATAAATAACAAATGCAATAAATAAATAAAAAAACAATCTAAAAACGATATGCATTAAAAATACAACTATACAAACGCGACCCAGGTGTGCGTGTGTGTGTGTGTGTGTGTGGGTGTGCGTGTGTGTGTATTTTCTTATTCAACTCTTTTCGTATCTTTCTTTTTGGCTAATTTACGGATTGACAGCAGCTGCACAGGGCGCCACCTGCGCGTTCTGCCGCCTCAAATCGGATCTGGTGGCCGCCGTGATGGCCGTGCCCACGATCAGCATCAGGGCCATGGCCACGTTGGCGGGCACATCCCCGTACGAGTAGAAGAGCTCCGAGTAGAAGAGCGTAAAGCAAATGCCAAACGTTTGCGCCGAGGCGTTCAGCAGGCCGGACGAAGTGCCCTCCGGCTCGGGAAACGTGAGCTCGGCGCCAAATTCAAAGCCCACCGGCAAATAGCCGGTCATAAAAAAGCTGCACCGGAACGTTACGTTTTAAGAGCTGCAATTGTTAACTGTTAAATGGCCGGACAGGCAGCACTTACCCCAGCAGCGAGGCTGTCAGATAAACCACCGCAATGTGTCCGGTGTCCAGCGTGAACGTGAATATCCACATGCCCACCATGGAAAGGGCATAGACCGCCAGCGTTGTCTCCCTGCAACAGCGAAACGAATTAGAGTAGAGTAGTGTAGTTGGCATGGTCGGTGTGAATACGGTACTTCGGTATTTTTGCTGCACCCGAAACCTAACTTCAAATCGGATTATCTAGACAAAGTCCAATCGGAACAAAACTTGCACCGCACTAAAGTTAAAAGTTGGCTTTGCCTTACGGGCTTTCCGGCTATATCATATATTAATCCGATCCGATCGGAGATGTCTACTTCTAAGCCGAACGTGAATGAAGGAAGTTAATTTAAATGCCAATAATTAGCTGTTTACGATAGAGAAAACTATGTAGGACACCTAAATTTTTAAATATAGAATATATTTAGTGCTTGAAAAGTTTCTTAACTGCTTGTGGCATCAAGTTGTGTGTGCGGCGCACGCGGCGTATGCGTAATGAGCGGCTGTCATTGAGTTTAATTGCTTTCGACTTACTTGAATTTGTGCGTCTTGTCCAGGACTATGCCGGAGACAACGGAGCCCAGCATGCCAGCCAGCACAATGCTGAGGCCAATGCGACCTGTGTCGACCTCATGACCTGGATAATACTTGAGCACCACCTGCGGCAGAATGGGGTGGGGGGGGCGAGAAAAAGAGCAAAACAAGGACCAGACAAGTTTAGTTTTGTGCGTTCGTCTTAAGCGATGGCCACTGTACCGGATTGAGCAGCGTGGAGATGGCATAGAATACGCCCACATTGATGCCATAGGAGAGCAGCAGAAATATGAAATTGCGATTGGTCATCAGATTCTTCAGCGATTGCAAGAAGCTGACCTGCTCCTCGACCATGCCCTCCAGACGCTGTGACTCCTCCTGTGCCGCAGACGGCGGCGTCGGCGGCCGATCCTGGAAGACTGCAAAAAGCCAAAGCCAATTGATTCAATGGCATTGAGTTGCTGCTGCCAGCACTTACATATGGCCATCAGGACGAGCAGTATGCTGGTCAGACCGGCCACCAGGTAGAACATCATCTGCAGATCGCTGCCCACCTGGTTGATGTCCTCGGAGTTCGGCACCAGCATCGGTGGCAGCACAAATCCAACGGCCACGCCCAGCTGTAAGAGTGAATTTTTAAAGGTTTTTTTTTTTCGGTTTATTTTTCTTTGGCAAACTTGGTTCAAAACAATGCATCCGTTTCCGCAGCAGCAGCAACAGAAACATGCTCCGTCTCGTTTTATTTATGCTCGCTTGATTTATGTGTCCTGCCACAAGGATTTCACACTTGCTGCTGCTGTTGCATTTTTGTTTTCGTCAATGTTTGCGCGGCCATTTCATGCCAAATAACATTTCGGGACTACCAACAAAAAAAAAATAAAGGAAAATTCCTGCCGGCCAGCTGCTGCGTCAAAACTTGTCTCATGTTATTTTTCGCCACTTTTTCAGTTGTGGCACATTTTTTTTTATGTGGTGTGTGCTGCATTCTTTTTTTTTTTGTATACCCTGTACTTTTTACAGGCAGCAGAAGAAGCCCTGAACAGGCGAGTCGATCAATTATCTAGGGTATGTTCCAGTTGAAACCACGCTCTTTAGCTTCCTTCTGTCTGCCCTTCTACACAAAAGAATTTTCGCTCCACTCTCCAAGGGTATCAACCAGTCGAGCAAGTACCAAAATAGATGGAAAAAAATTCAATAGCTAACATAGGGTATCTACTATTCGAGCAGCGATCACAAGGACTATAATAGTTAAAGCCATATAGTTTTTACAGGGTATTTACTAGTCCATCATCCGCTTCAAGTTCTTTATTTGCCTTTTTCTATTTATGGACAATTTTATTTGTCCCATAAATCGGTTTTAGCGAATGGCGGAAAATAACTTTTGACATCGAATTGTAAAGTCCATTAAAATTGAGTGCGTTTTCAAATTGAATTTTTTTCCATAGTTTCTTTTTTTTCCACGTGGTTGAAAGTCGTGAATTCATTAATGCTGCTCTTTGTTTAAATAAATTGCATTGCGTACAAAGTAAAGTCAATTTGTATAGATTTAATTTTGAATAGTTGCATAAAGAATGCATTTAAAGTAAGCTTTAAATGGCTTAAAAGCTTTTTGTATGATACGCAAACAGCTTTCAACGTCGAGCTTTTATTAAGGTTGCTCTTTGTTTAAATAAATTGCATTGCGTACAAAGTAAAGTCAATTTGTATGGGTTGAAAGTATCTATTAAAAAAGCTTTAAATGGCTTTAAAGCTTCTATTTGAGCAGCTTTTATCAATCAAGAACATGCATCCTTTAAAGAGCTTTCATCGAGGGATTTTTAAATTTCTTTGAACATACTTAAAGCACGCTCTTAGCTTAAAGCTCAGCTTACTGTAAGCTCTTAAAGCTCTTTGTCAGAAACTTAATATTGTTTGCAAATTGGCATTAAAATTATGCTAAGACCGACTAAAAATAGCTTTGCAAATGCAAATGCTCTCGATTCTTTGGGAATTGTCAATGCAACAATCTGCATAAATTAAATCAAAAGCAGCATTCGAATAAGCTCGTGAACTTGAGACCGTTTTGCTTGGAGGGCTCGGGCGGGAATCGGGCGCAGGCTAAACTAGAGAAAAGTTTAGTAATGCCCACTAGAGAAACCTTACAGCTATGGGACTAGCAATGCAAAGACAAACACAAACACGGGGATGCACACGCTGGGCAGAGGAGGAGGCGCAGGATTTGGAGGAGAAACCTAGCAGCAGGGCGAGGCATTCATTTCCCGGCGTGTTTACGTATGCGTATGAGCAGGGCTTGTTGTTGTAACAGCTAACAAAAATAACAAAAAAAAAATAAATAAACGGATAAAAGTGACTTAGTTGGGAGTGTCCGACTGGCAGATACTCTGCAAAAAGTAGAGAATATTTAAAATATTCTCCAATTGTTTATGCTGTAAATCATAAAAAAAAACGTATATTGGAAATTCTTAGCATATCGCCTTGAAAGCTGCCTCTAACTATCTGTTTCCCAAGGTGTACAGGGCATAAATATGGAAAATAGTCTAGAAAAACGAAAGCATGTTTGTTCAGCACTTTGGCAACAGCCACAGCCAAAGCCAAAGTCCGTGTGCTCAAAGCTTGTTTCTCCGCCAAATCTGCTTGTCAGGATTCTGTGGAAATGGGGCTGTGCCTGTGGCATTGGCTGCGCGGCTGCTTGGTGCGTTTTGTCCTTGCCAGATAAGGCGGCAAGCTCTAAAAAGTGGGCGGGCATCGGGCGTCGGGCGTCGGGCGGCGCTTCAATGTCAAGCGTCAAGCGAGTGCCGCCCGCTGCTTAGTTTTTGCTTTAGATTCTCTTTCTATATCAAAGGTATAAGGGTATTCCAATTTTGACACAAGTTGTGTTACACACAAAAGCTGGCAACTCCGACTTTATTCAGAACATAAATTTAACAGCCGACTCGCTAAAGCCTTTTCTGTCCCTTTCTCTCTCGTGTGACTGTGAATGATAATTTACCCTACCACTTTTGATCTCATTGCATATTTGGTCTGCAGGCTGCGGCCAGAGAGCGAGCTCTGTAAATGCTATGACTGCGGGGAGGGGGGGCAAATTCATAGAGCTACTGCATTCACGCCATTGGTCGTAATGCCTGCGATCCCGTTACCGCAGTCGTGTACTCAGCAGAATGCGCTTACGCGAGAAGAGAACATTGTCAAAGATGTGAGCGCAGGAGTCATAAAAGTTGTGTGCTCTATTTGTTGTGTGCTTGTATTAGTGCGACTGCCGGCTTAGCGTAGGCGCGAGCCCAATGAGGAGTTTTAGTCTGTGCGCGTCTGTCCTGTGGATCGGTTGCTTCCGCTGCGCGTGTGTATTAAATCGTTTTGTTTGTTTTTTATTTTTTAGTTAAATCATCTAAATGGTGTTAAATGTGTAAAGTATGTGATGCTTGTGCTTGGAAGTGTCATTTATTTGTCTTCTATTTTTTGGAATATACATATGTAAATGTCGTTTTGTTTATGGCGCGAAGTTTTTTTAATACGAGCAAATTGGCGCGCAAAACTATCCAAAAGAGAGAGAGAGAGTGAGTGAAAGACAGAGTGGCAACGGGAGACCCTTGTAAAACTTTTCTTAAGGGCAACTATTCAGAGAGAGAGAAAGAGAGTGAGGTGAAATGCAGACAGATTAAGAACGAGCGAGTCGTATGAAGCTCTCTTAAGGAAAACTGTGCTGTTGTATAAGTCTATGTATATATTGCCTAACGATCTCTTATACACTTCATGGTAAACATTCCTTCTAAAACGCTTTTAACACTCACTTTTACTTTAATGACGAGCAGAAAAAAGGGTTTTCTGTATAAATAGATAGCGTATACTTGTTCTCTGTTAAGGGTATTTACTCCTCGGTGTTTCGTAGTTTACTGTTTTTTCTTGTATTTTTTTTTTTCTGCCCGCAGCCATTGAGCGCTTTTGGGGCACAAGTTCGAATTGTTCGACTGTTGCCTAGCAACGCTTTAAAGCCAACATTTGCATTTGGCTTTCTCCATTGAACAGGCACTTGACCTCAGCCAATGCAGCAAGGGCCTGCCCTGCAGGTGGGCCGTGCACATTGACGTTGACGTTCACTGTTCGACGGCACTGTATGGTTACACACACACACACACTTACACACTCTTATACACATTGAATGAGAGGCATGCCTCATATTGTGACATGCATATCCCATTGAGACTTCCTGCCGAGGCGAGCCTGGCGAAAAACAAGCGGAAATTATAAGCCTTTTCAGCGGCGCTCGAGCGTATGGCAAATATGACGGCACACACGCACACACAGACACACACGCACACACATTACATATGTGTCAGACCGTGTCATTCGCATGACTATTTCAATGTTTGCGCTGCATATTTGCACGTACAGCAGGTGAGTTGCCCTCATTTCGTCTCAGTTGCAACACGTTGCGCGTAATGTACATTATCTGCTCGTAAATCATTATTAAGGGTAGTCCCGCACACACGCACGTACTCTAATCACAGAGCAAGCAAACTAATTGTTTTGCTTTGTTTGGCGTCCATAAGCTGCCTGTTAATTAACAGAATGTCAAAGGTCAACTAGGTAAATATGTGGCAATAATGTAATGGCCAAACAAAGTGCAACCATAAACGCTAGAGCCAAGTTTCCGAGTTGTCAAAGTAGTTGCTTTCAAATTTTGAGGCTAAGCCAATAAGACTCAAATGCCAAAAGTTATAAGTGTCTAGCTGAAGTAGCTTCAGCCAACCTTGTTGTGCAACAGAATTGTTCTCAAGAGACGCCGCGAATCGCATGCTGATCGATATTTATCGATGACAAAACTTTAGGCAGCTATTGAAAATATTAGGGCAACTTTTGGAAAGCTGCTTGCTTTGCATAGACTAGATAAACTAGAAGAAATTACGTGACGTTCAATAAACAACTGTAAAAATACGAATTTTGCTTGATTTGAGCCGGCGACTTTCCACTCGTTAGTTCGACGCTCAAACAGCTAAGCCATGACGAAGAGCTTGTTTAGAATAAGAAGCTATTGGTAAACTACTGGAAGTGCCTTCAATATACCAGACGAAATTACCCGGCGTTGCGCGGCTCAAAGTAATTGTATGCACATTTTTCCGTCCATGCATTCGCCCCAAAATCAATTAAATCTAAGGAAATATTTTAGTTATTGTTAAAATCTATAAAGTCTCATTTATTTCTTCCCAGCGTATCTATCAGGTATTGCTTTTTTTTGTGCAGAATTTGAGTCGGCGACCTTTAACTCGCCAGTTCGACGCTCAGGCAACTAAGTTTTGACCGAACTTTCAAATAAAAATTTACCTTAGAAAATTGAACTTGAAAATGTTCGTTTTACAAGAAACGTGTTTCAGGAAAAAGTAAAATACTTAAAACTTAAATTACTTTTTGTTCCCAACTTTTCTTAGTTTTCCGTAAAAGTTTTCACAGCGCCGCAAAATGTTTCATTAATTATTGTTGCAACTTTGCGGCATCAATAATTGATGCAATTATGCAATATGTGGCAAAGCTTGTGTGTTGACAGTAAATGGCTTTTGGCATTATAGATTTTCACAGCACTTTAGCATTTTGGCATTTTGGCCACAGGCTAATTACATTATGGCCCCAACAAACCAAACACGTGGCAACCGCAATTGATTGCGATTCTAGCGGCCAGCTGCAGGTGCCTAGACTGGACCTCAACTGTGGTCAGTTGGTGTCCGGCTCTGCCGGAAAGTTGCTGCAACTTGACCCCGAACTGACATTGCTGCCACACTTGCCACACACGACACTTGAGGCAGGTCGATGCGTTTGTTTTCACAGTCGAATAAATTGAAAATGTGCACAAAGAGTTCTTTTGGCTTTCCCATTTCATCCACCCTGCCCCCTATATTTGCATTAGTGTCTGATGCACTGAGATGTGCAATCAGTTTGCTTAGTTTCGCCTAACTTATTCCTGCTGGTTGCTCTAGTTGCTTCTCTGTATACCCTGTAGCTGTTTGTAACGGGCATTTTGGTTGCGTGTGCAGCACAAATTTTTAACGTTTCTTTTTATAACTCTGACAAATCTCATTTGTCTCTTAGAGCGTATAGCTTACCAGCCGAGGAACTTCGAACTAATCAAATAGAAATACTTTAAGACAATTCACACACTAAAAAGTTCATAACGCTCGCAGAATTCAACTCAAAGTTATTCAAGAATCAAAAATCCTTATGCTAAGCATGTGGTGGCGTACAGGGTATATTCTAGTCAACCACACTAGCTCTATATTTTTTTTTTTCATGTGCAACCCTTGGCAATTTGGTGATTGCACGCGTCGTGTAACAGAAAGTACAGGGGGGGGTTGGGTCAGAAAGTAGTCACTTTCGCTGGCCGGAAATGTGTAAAAAGAAAGTAGATAGAAATGGGAAAGCACGAATGTCATTTTGGCGTGTCAGCTTAGCATTTGGCATCAATCTGGCCAAAATGCTGCAGCCCTTTTCTTGTTCATGCAAATTTAAGCCCCCCCCCTTGCTAGTACCCCCCGTAACGGGTAATATATTTAGCTTGAACAACTGGGCGTATGCGTAATTTCAACTTTAAGCCAAAATTAGCTAACGCGGCTCGCTTACCTGATTCCCAAAGACGCCAACGCTGGTGGCGGATGACACCTGATCGGGTCCGAACCAGACGGCAGCCAAACGCGCGGGCAGCGACAATATGCACACCTGTTCGAATGAATACAGGTGGTATAGTTTTAATTAGCTGAAAGTGTTTGCTGGCTTATTTACCTGGGCAAGCGCCACAATTGACTGTCCTATGAAGCTGACATAGAAGAGCGACGGATCCACCGAAAATACCTTTATCCAGGCGCCTATGCAGGTGCCCACAATGCCAACGAGTGCCGTTATGCGCAGACCCTGACCAGACCCAAATCGCCAAGCCATTAAAATAAAATCAAGAATTATTTAACTGCGCACCACTCACCACCTTGTCGAGGAACCAGCTGCCCGGAAATATGAGCGGTATATACAATATCATATAAATCATGGACGTCCAGTCCACCCACTTGTCACTGATGCCATAGTAGCTGCATTGGCGAAACATTAAAATGGCAAATAAATATACTTTCCCTTGGCCGACAGGTGAGCACGGCATCGGGGTAGACTTTTGCAACTTTTAATTAAATCAAACCAGCTTTTAACTAAGTCCCCCTTTTTGAGTTAAGCGCACATCAAATCGCATTTGAGGCAACTGCCCCAAGGACTCCAAGCACTTACCGTGTTATTATATTGTTGATGATGGTGTATTGTATCCATTGCATGGCATTCGAGGCTGAATAGAATACAAAGAGTATGAGCACCGCCCAGCGACGCGCATAGACTTTGTAACCTGAAAGAAAAAAGCAAATACGTAAGCAGATACATTTCTTATATGTATCTATGTATAGAGTATGCAATTGGCTGCTACACTTGAGCTGAGCCTTTGTATATAATACATATATATTAACTGGATTAGTTGCTTGGTTCCTAATGGAAACAACTGTCATAAAGGATAATTTGTATACAACAGGTATATGTTACCTGACAGTTCGCTGGGGCTGAAAGCGGACGAAGGTGTCTAAAGGTTTTACTACTCTTCCTGAGAGTATCTTAACTTTGTAAGCTTAAGAATACACTTTTTCTTAGAGTGTAGTTGGGGACATATGTACTTGCATTTATTAGTGTAAAACAGAAAATTGGTTTGCAGGGATTTGGTTTTTCTCTAAGTGCATTTTGTGCATGCATGCATGTCTGCAAGAATATTCCAATTTCGTTGGTTCAAAGGAAATTGGGAAATTGGGAAGAGGTTGAAACTAAAACGACAATACCCTGTATAACAAACTTAAAAGGGTATGTAGCAGAGGTGTGCATAAAATGCCATAGCCAACTTCAAAAGCACGCTGTCAACTTTTGAATTGTTTAATAAGTCATATATATTTAATTAAGTTATATATTTAATATTTTCGTACTATCTAAGAGCTTGTAATGCTAGAGCTTCATAATGATCTACGCTATAATGCATGAGCTGCTTATAGGGTATCAGACAGTCGTTCAGCGTGATTTTACCATTTTTAGTTGTTTGGCATTGAAAGTGCAAGAAAAAGAAACGCTTTTGATGTTTTTTTTATTTATAGTTGACAACACACACACACACACATTCACATGGTTATACATATTTACATACATGCACAAACACACACAAACACACACACACACACATACTTGCATGCACACATATTAGATGCGGTGCACGCAAATCAGAGAATGCAAACAAAGCGATTGCATACCTTGAGGTGCAGTTAAGTCAAAATGGCCGCTTTGTATGCATGTGTGTGTGTGTGTGTGTGTTTAAAGTGTTTTGCATATATATGTTTAGCTACCGCACACACACACACACCCACATCTGTTGAGCATCGTAAATGGCCCAAAAGATTTGTGTGGCAGCCGTGACAGGAATTGCATTGCATGTTAACCAAGCAGATAACATCCGAATAGATAATTACGCTTACGTGAGCTCTATATACGTTTTTATTAACTTTCACAGGGTATTTTAATATTTTCACGAGCTGTGTAACACATGGAATGTGGCAATTTCTGATCAGTGTCGATAGCCGAGTTCGTAAAGCCTTGTCCGGCTGCTGCCCTCTCTCTCTCTCTCTCTCTCTCTCTGATATTCTACTCTTACACTTTCAATCTCGTTGAATATTTCGGCTGCATTTTGTAGCCAGAGAGCGACGTCTGTAAATGTCAAGACTGCGGGGAGGGGGCTATATTTATGTAGCTACTGCGTTCACGCTATTGGTCGTGACGCCTTCGATCCCGTTACCTTAGTAGTGTACTCAGCAGAGAGCGCTAACGCGCGAAGAGAGCATTGTCAATGATGTGAGCGCAGGAGTTTTAAAAGTTGCATGCTCTTTGTTGCATTTGTATTAGTGCAAGAGCCGGCCCGGCGTAGGCGCGCACATAATGAGGAGTTTCAGTCTGTGCGCGTCTGTCCTGGCGATCGGTTATTTATTCTGCGCGTGTGTATACAAACGCTTTGTTACAATATAAAATCTACTTAGGTTTAAATTAACGAATACTTTGGTTATTCGTCAGCGTACGCAAAGTGTTATTTATCTTGTTTAACTAAGTGAATGTGCATCAAAGCAATTTTGGTTTGTGCTGAGCTCTTGCACTTAACGTGAAAAATGGCGCGCATTTGCACATATTACACAGGGAGAGAGAGAGAGAGAGAGCAAAAGAGAGCGTAAGCGATACAAACAAAGAGCGTGCTCTCTTAAATAAGGTAGTTGGTTAAAGCTTTCTATATATTCAATATGGCCTTCTCTCAGTAAAAATTGTATGATAAAACTTTGCATAGATTCGACTTATTACTGCACGCTTATAAAGGCACTTATAGTACATGCGTATTAGGGTATTCAAACTTCGGCGTGCCGAAGCTAACTCTCTATTTTCATACAGTTTAAAACTAACCTTCGGCTGGCGCATTGGCCGATTTGTTGTTTTCTTTGCTCTCCTTGTCCTTCGGCGTGATCATGTCTGTTGACTTGCTGCTGGCTATATATGAATCGGCGCTCTCGACGGCGCCGCTGGCGCTGTGCTTCAGATCCATTTCGGATATATATATATATATATATATATTTGTGTGTATAAATTGGCTTCTGATTTTGGGCGGTTGTTTTGTGTGGCTTTGGCTCGCTGATAGTTCGGTGGTCTCGTTGAATATCTACTTTACTTTAATTGGGCAGTTTGTTTGGTTGATAAAATTCTATGTAATTGCTGTATAATTGAATAAATGGGGGAAGAGCAGAATCTTAGTCAAGTGTATTAAACGTAAAGCCAACAAGTAGGCAATAATCATATTACAGCAGTTTTATATGCCGTTGCAACTCTTTAGCAGCAACACAGACACACTTACACACACACACGCTTACACACACTCACACACACTCACACATTTATATGCCCCAAAATACGCTCATATGTGTGCTACACGTTTTGCGGCGATCCCAACAACTGGCATAAACATTTCTTGTGGCCCGCACAAAACCAACTTAATGTGAATTCACATTCCCATTACTCCAGCCACCCCCCCGCCCTCCGCGGTAAAACCGTGCTCTGCACCGTCTCGCATACCTGGCTGCTGTTTTTTACTAACCAGACATAATATTATTGCTTGCTTTTATATGCCCTGTTTTTGTGCACCTTAAATTTAAACAAGACTTTTTGTCTAACATGGGAAAGCTTTAAGCACCTGAGAATTGCAGGTTTCTCTTAAATATAGCACAAAGAAAGAGTATATTTACTTAAATGTCTCTAAATGAAAAATATCCTTATATCCCAAAACGTTCCTTCAATACATATATAAACATAAAAGTATCAAATAGTCCAAGCCTTAACTATCTGGAAAATATGTATATAACTTTTAAGGATATAAAGGTAGGTTAAGTAAAAATCTTGGATAAATTTCCCAATAAGTTAGCGTAAGAATGCATAACAGAAGTTATTAACGAGAAATTGTGAACTGCTCTTGCTTTATACAGGGCATCTCGCAGTCGAGCACAATGAACTTAAAGCTCTTATAATTTGTACTCTTGTGCTTTAATGTATGGCCACACTCTTTTTGCCATTAGACAAATAGCTTTTGCATACGAAATCAATTGAAACCAGACTGTCCTATTCGACAGTGCAGCCGACTAGCAGATACACTACACGATTCTAGCTGCATATATATGTGCTTCTTCTTCTATTTGCCTTATACTATGTGCAATGCATTCTTGGGAAATTTTTCGATACTATTCTTTGCTTATACAATGTGAAATTTAGTTTTGGGAAATTTGGCGATCTTCTTGCCTTTGCCTTATGCTATGGGTATTGCATTCTTGGGACATTTTTTTGTTTCTTCACTTTTGCTTTGTCTTATACTATGGGAAATTCCTTAGTGGGGATTCAATATGGGAAATTTATTGTTGGGAAATCTTTGATGCCTAATTTGGTACTAAAATGTGAATATATACCAAAGAGCGGGGGGTTTACTTTCATAAACGAGATTAATTACCCAAAAAACTGAAGGGAAATTCTAATATTTATCGATAATATGCAAAAGGGAGCCAGATATCGATCGATATATATCTGTTACAAGCATTTACACAAAACAAATATGACTTTATTGCACATTTGCAATGCGTTCGGGATGTAGAAATGATTAAGCGCCATATATTTGTAATTGATTCATTAAGCTATTAAAGGGCCATTCATTTGCATTCGCTTTTAAATTCACATTTATTCAAATAGCATTCATTGTTGCTTTTGTGCTTTGACATTGAATTTGCCAGCAACATAAACGAACCCATTGAATCAAATCAGCGCCTGGGAGATTTCACTGCGGATTTGCGAAATGCGATTGCAATGGAACTTGCCATGGCTGGGGGGGGAGTGGATGAGGGGGGTTGACTTTTGGTAGGGGTTGCACGTGTCCACTTGTTGCACCCGAAAAGCCAATCAAAATTTCAGCTTGACTAGCTTGGGCAATGGATTTGCGCAGGATGATTTGATAGCATTTTTTCGATTCATCATTTGACACACACACACACACACACACACACACACACGCATACACACTGTTGGCTTTTCGCTTGAATTTAAATGGAAGTGCATTTGGAGGCAACTTTTTGTATGGCTTTGGCACAGTTTTGCCAAAGTTTTCGCCACCCATAATTAAATCTATGGCCGTGCGCGTGCCACACTGAAAACCCGCTGCAGGCCCTAATTGATTTAACTTTGTTAACGACGGCACTTAAATTAATTTGCCTGCACAACAACAACAACAACAACAACAACAGCAGCAAGAGCAACAACAATTCGAGTGCTTCGCGTTTTTATACCCTGCAATATTTGAAAGTGTGTAAAAAAGAAAGGGTACACTCAAGTGCGGTAAGTGCAGGCAAGAAGATAAAGAAGGCATTTCGCAACCAATAAGAAAATCTTATAGATAAGACATATATTATAAAAATAAATATATATAGGCAAATCGTTCCGTTTTGGATAATAAAAGATGATTCAAGTTTCTTTATAAGGTAATATTGTATTTTTGAAATGTCTTTTTTTCAAAAATATAAAAACTTCTGAGAGTTTACATTTGATTTTGTGTATATACGCATACTTGAATTTTATCTTTAGAATCCACAAAATTTAAAATCTATATAAAAAAAAACCTTGCAAGTTATTTGGGAAGAAATTTGTCAAATGAATGTGAGCATATAAATACAAGGTAAATTTTTTTTGCGAAAGAGTTGCCCTAAATGATTCTGTTCGCATTTACAGGGTATACCCGAGTCGCGCACTCCTGCCTAGCGCAGCCTAACTAAATTGCCTCTAATGAGGTTTGTGCGATTGCAACATGTTTGTTATGTGCATGTCATTTGGGGCTTTAATTCGATTGTGATTGGTTTTCGGGCAACTCTAATGGGCTCTACGGAGCGAGATTTTACCGAAGCTATGCCAACTTTTGGCTAAGCTCTGTGTAAACTGATTGGAAATATTGTTTTGACTGATTGTAAAGCGATTGAGGGCAAGAGACCAGGTGAGGTGAAATCAAACATGATAAAAACACGAAAATAAACAGAGCCAGATACAGAAACAGAAACAGCAAGAACAAGAGGCAGAACAAGCATGCGATGAGTGGAATGCGCGATAACAGCAAGACGAAGAACTAAAATACCTTCTCATGGTCTTATAATACACACACGTTGCGACTCGAGTGCAGCTATGCGGGGGAGTTCTTTTTATTATTATTATTACCCATGCAAAGTTGAATTTAGAAAAAAAAAAAAAACGCGCACGTACTATTCAAAATAGATGTTCGTATCGTATATAAATATATATTATCAACAGAGAGACTGTGTAAAAACTTAAGGTAGGTTAAACCACGCGCCAAAATAATAATAATATATATGTATATATATATATATATATGGGTTTGTATTAGTCGGAAACGGGGGAGACGGCAACGTTTTGAGAGCGCGAACGCGGGCCAACTGAAACTGAAACTAAATCCGAAAAAGTCGCTCAGCGCTTGTCATAAAGTTGATTTTGCAAAATGTTATTGTTGTTGTTCTTCTTGTTGTTGTTGTTGTTGTTGTTGTTGTTATTATTGTAAACAGCTGATTCTTCGAGCAGACATACTAACTACACACAGTCACTCGCGCACACACTCGCACACTTGCTGTTACAGTGCGCGTGACAAGGTAAACAACTAATTATTAATTAAAAATATTACTGCTTTTTTTTTTTGTAAATTATTTGTATAAACAGTGTGGTTGATTGTTTAAAAATTTTAATGGCTTCTCTTCGGGTATTCGCTATAAACAAATTAATTCTGAGGCTTAGCTCAGCATTTGCAGCAACTGCATAATTGATTCAACTTTGAAAAAAAAAATAAGATTATAAAGCTTTAAGTGAAACGGAACAGAACTCCGCAATAACTTCCAAGCAATTTATGCTTACTCAAAAAAATATGGAAGAAACAAGAAATCAATTTGATGTCATTTAAATGCACACAAGCTTTTAGGCCTCGCCTGAGCTTTAATGTAAATAAATAAACACATTTGCTTGCACTCAAAGCTTAAAGCTCGCTATTAATTGCATTGACACTAGTGCGACACATATATTAAAGCTTTTAAGCTTTAAGTGCACTTAATTGACAGCACTTTATGCAATAAATCTCTCTCCCACAAAAACCTTTTAAGCTTTAAGTGCAATTAATTGCATGTGCTCAATGCAATTAATCTTGTCAGCTTGATTTTCCATGCAAATATATGCTGCTCTTAAGCTCGTGCGCATACTTTTTGCACGCACTGTGCCAGCATTGCGTTGTCCACTTATAATATATCATATATGTATGTAGATTAACTGTAGTGGCGACCCTCAATGAGAGACGTGTTCCCGTTATTGTCTGCCGCTGCATACAGTGAAACCTAGCCTGGTGCGAACCCAGCTGCCAGTGTGCGTAAATAGTCCGTTGCACTTAGGCAGCGCCCACTGTAGCCCACAATCGTCGATTCATGCGCCCATCTAATTGCAGCTGTAAAACATTTTAAACTCATTTGCTTTGTTTTTGCCCCGTATACCTCGCTTTATCGCACTTTCTTTAGCACCAACTTCGTCAGACTGCAAACACGTGTCGCTGCCAGTCCACGAAACCCTTTTACATGTCACGTCTACCCACCTCTCCCCACCTCTCTACCGCTCCATAATTGATTTGATTTGTTTTTCTGTTGTTTATTGAATAATTTGACTGGGGCAACTTCCTCGTTTGTCGACTCGACTCGACTCGACTCGACTCGAAACGTTGCCGCACAGCCAGACAATGTCCAAATCCGAAATGCCAATCTGAAATCCAGCAAGTGGTTGGGGGTCATTATTCGATTAAGGCAAATTATTATTTTTTATTATTTATAATGCAAATCATGCTCTGTCGGGCAGCAGGGCAAGCGGGGCCGTGTGTACGACGCTCATCTCTCTCTCTCTGCCTCTCTCTCCTCTCTCCACCACCCAGCCCTCGCTGCCACTCATCCTGGTTATCTACTCTAGAGCCAAAAGCTAATCAACGTGTACTTTGTATCTGGGCTGAACCACGCGAAATTTCTCGCACGATTCTCTGCCGAAAAAGATAATGAAATCGGGCGGCGACAGCTGATAAAGCCATCCAATTGTATAGTTCCTACGTTTTGACTTAGTCATTATTGGGCCATTATTGATATTATTAGCATGTATTATTTATTGTTAGGCATCTCGTTCAGTAGCCAGGCAAGCGTGAATCCCCCCGATCTAAAGTAGTCACGTTTAGTTTAAGTATATGGAAATTTTACATACACTTCGCGTATGTGCTTCGATTAACTGGCTTGATTGGAGACTTCTCGTTGTCTCAACCTGTCTGGTAAGTCCCATTACTAATTCAAATTATTTCCAGGTAATTGCCATGCAAATCGTTTACTTCTATTTATATAAGTTGCGACAAGTTAACCCCATACACAGATATAATTATATCTATATATATATATATTAGGTTGTTATGGGAAGTCAGACCTCGCCATTGATTAGGGCCTTTGTTCAGCTAAAGTCAACGTCAAGGCTGCTGTGAAGAGAGTTTCACTAGACCAACCCACAATTGGGCCTAGTTAATATGGAAATATCATTCTAATAATATTAGTGATAATAATTATAAAATAAGTGAGCATAATAAAAATAAAAATTATAATACTAATAATAATAATAATAATAATAATAATAATAATAATAATAATAATAATAATAATTATATTGTTGGCTGGCTCGGGCCTCGAACTATATACTTAAATAATAATATTTATAGTTATAAGAAAATTATTAATAATGCGAATATTTGTATTATCATGTTCTTTACTAGCAACATTCTTGTTCGAGTTCATTATCGATGAAAACTTATCTTAGTAATGAACAGCTAATAATTGGGTGACAGCTACTAGAGAGCTATATCTATGCCAACTTATCAATCTATATATTGTTGCTAATACAAAGTAACTAAATTGTTGATATCACAATTCAGATAGTGAGCACATTTATATATATATATTTGAAGCGTTAGGGTCTCTGCTGCAGGTGTTTCATGGTTGAGATTGCGGCGGCAGCTGAGTATGCCTAATGGATTCTAAGTGGATGTGTGTGCTTGTGTGTGTGTCTGGCATCAACTGGTAATCATTTTAATGTTTACAAAAAGAGCACCCCACAGCCGCGACTGCTCCCGCAGCTGGCATACAGCCACTCATTAGGCGCGCGGGGAGCACAAAGCGGGCGAACTGATTGCCACATTTCTCATGCACTTTCCACTTGCTACTTGCCGCTTTCCGCTGGCCAGGGGTCGAGTGGGGCAGCGCTTTGTTCTCGATTTCAATCTCACATGAATTCCAAATGCAATTTGTCGCTGCGTTGAGCCCGCCAGCCAATTGGACTTGGCTGCGGATGTGGATTAGCCAGCGCCCAATTAGCCAGGACTTGCCAGTGGCCAGTTGCCAGTTGCCAGTTGCCAGCGGCCTTAAAGGCTTCAGCTGCAGCTGTAGCTGTTGGCCTTAAACTGTTGCTCAAATATTAATGCCAACAATTTGTTCAAATGGCCTTCTCTGCACCTTTTTTTCCCATTTAGCCTCAGCCGGAGTATTACATTAAGCCGGGCATTTAATCAAAACGTGTGAATCGCCTGCCTCAAGCGCCGCCTCCTTGGGGCAAAAGTTAAGTGGATATTTCTTTCATCAAAAGCAAGGCCATAAAAATTAAAAAAAAAAAACACACAACATTATGAGCGTCTATATTTATATAAATAAATATCATTAGATATTAAGGTGTTTGCTTTACAATACCCTGCACAAACAAAATGGGCAAGGACTAGCTTGATTTTCCCGTTAAGGCAGCAATAAATAGACTTGAGTTAAGGAACAATATGCTATTTACAAGAAATTGCACGCTTGAAAAAAGTACAAGCAATACATTCTCAATGAGAAGCCAATAGACATGCCTCTATATCTATCTGAGTCTTATTTCGAGGAATTTTGGGGATTAATAAGATTATAAAGATCGCAATTGAGAAACTTTAGGAGAAAACAAGAAATGGGTTTTATCTGGTATAAAAAAGGCATCAAAGAGTTCTTCAAAGGAAGTTCTGGGAAGCCTACATATCTTGCATAGAGACATATATCTAATTCTTCTTTTTGAGGAACTTGGGGGATTACAAAGACTTTTGTTTTAATGAAAGAACTTAAGCATCTATAAAATGTTCTACGCACTAGAAATGATTTATATCTGGGATAAATAAGGCATAAAAGAGTTCTTCAAAGGAAAGTTCTATTATGTTAAGCCCAAATATCTTGAGATCTATAGCTAAATCGTATTTTGCGAAAACTTTGGCTATTACAAAGAAGTGCTTCAGCTTAAAATAAGTTCTAATCGAGGAACTTAAGGATACAAAAAATGGTTGTCATCTTCCATAAATAAGGCTTAAAAGAGTTCTTCAAAGGAAAGTTCTGGTCAGCACAGGATTATACAGGATCAAAGCGTGGCTTGTCGATCGACTTGAATACAGGGTATCTGCTGATTAGATAAGTTCGGCAGGCAACTTGTTTGAGTCGTCTCATTAATGGCACTCGGTAGCTGTTGCTGGCGGCGGCGGCGGCGGCGGCGGCGGCTGTGTAATTCCGATTGCGATTACCGCGGCACGCATTTGTCGCGGGACTCTTAAGCCGCAGCAAATCGCGTAATTATGGGCGAGGCGTCCTCCTAAGTGCCACATCATTTCCGCAACATTTATTTATTAATTAAAAAATTTGTGTGCAGGCGCTTTATCTGCGCACTCAGGCTTTCGCCGTGCATTAAGCCAGATTAATTGCCATACATTTTATTTAATTTGTGCCAAGTTTTTACATCTCGTAGCACACACCGCACTGGGCGCCGCAATTCTCTGTTTCTCTAATTCTCAAATTCTCAGTTTCTCCAATTATCAGGCAAGTTTCGACACAGCAGGCGTCGCCGCAGAGTTTGTCCTTTTATTTCATGGACAGCTGACGTTCTGGTTTTTATTGTTGTTGCCGTAGTTATGGGCGTAACAATACCCTGTAATCGAACAACAGGCATAGGGTATACCGACGACAAAGATTTCTTACAAAAATTTTGTTTATATTTTGATTCTAATCTAAGTAAATAAAGCCACACGACAGACAATGTGTTAATCGACTTATCTGGAGAGTTGTTTAATTAAAGCTTTGTCTAAAATTAGTTTGCTAAAATCAGAAAAGAAAACAACATTTTATGGCGTTCTTTACACAAATCTGCTGTCTAGAATTCTAGACAGGTGTGCTCTAGTTTTTACTATCAGCGTTTTCTCGGTTTTGATTCGAACTGGTTTTACCCGGAAATTTCAATTGCATTTTGTTTAAGTTAATTTTTAATATATATTTTAATATTAAATAAATTCTCACAAAAGTCTTTGCAAATGAGTTTCAAAAC